CACTGGATGATAATATACTTAAAACCATTCAATATAAATCTAAAAGACAATACAAAACCAACGGACAAAGGCAAAAAATGAAAGCCAGTGAAATCCAAAATGTGAAAGGATTGGCAGTTTGTTTCTCAGATGGGATACTACAACACTGATTTAAAAAAAAAAAAAAAAAGTCTCTGTGTTCTCACAAGGCTCACCATGTTTTGGATTTCTTTTCAAACCAGGCTGTTGCTGGGGAGGTGGTGGCGGAGGTGGGGGAGGAGGAGGCGACTCTCTCTCATGACTTATTACCCTGTCGACTGAGCCGTATATTGCCAAGGTCAGACAGTTGTACCATCCCCTAAGAACCAACCCATCTGTGTTGACCTGTTGGTTTGGTTTTTTTTTTTTTAAAAAAAAAAAAAAAGGCACTTAAAAGACTACTTCAAAAAAAGTTAATTTAATATCAATGTATCGCTATCTGCATAAAAGCCAGGAGGAAAACCAAACATTAAAATACCTCTTTATCCCACATTTTGAAAACTGAGAAAACTTTAAATACATCAGTCTTTGCAACAAATAATCTTTCCCTATAAGCATTAAATTCCTTGCAATATACCTATTGCCTAGATAGATCCCTAATCTACTACAGCCTATTAATGAAAAAAAAAAAACAAACAAAAACAACAACAAAAAACCACCAGGAAGACTCTAAAGTAAGGAGTATCTAACTACAGGCAGGTTTTAGAATATGGTTTTAAACAACAAATGCCTCACAGAGTGCTGATACACCACATACTTATACTTAAATGACAGATATGTAGGAAGAGGAAGTTCAAATCACACTGCATTACCTTTGCATTGGGTCTGAAAATAATTGAAGTGTTTTCATCATATTCAAGGCTATTAAATAAAATATACAAAGTCATTTTCTTCAATAATATAAAGCATGCTTACAGAAATAAAACACAGCAGTACTAAACACATAAGCCAATAATAAAACAGTGAACAAATACATACTGATAAAACAAGAGTGTAAAATCACTTATTTCTACAAAATTATTTTCATTAATACATACAAGTTTAAAAATAACAAAAACTTCTTTTATTTTAAGCATGAAACCCTGTCTTCCACACAGATTAGAGGAAAAGGGTAAGTACACAAACTAGTAAAATCCAAATCAAACATGAAAACCATGGGAGGTACAGAATTTTCTACTGTGTGTTTTCTGCACTATAAAATTTCTCAGGAAGAAAATGAAGATAATGAAGTCATGCACTGATCTTGAAAGAGCTTACCTCCCCAGCCGATCAAAAACAGGGGCACTTGGCTTGCTGACATTGTTGAAAAACAAGTCCAGTTGAAATGAATGTGGGGATGTCTCTCTAAGAAACAGAACAAAGGTAAAAATTACATTAGTCGAGCTCCTTATCAGACTAAGCGTCCTGGTTAGAACAGCTGGGACCAGTTCATCACCGGATGGGTGTAACCCAAAACTGTGTATTCTATAGCCTTCCATGCCATTTCCCAGAAACTGTTGTCAATAGACCATTTACACCCTCTGCCCAGAGCAGCCTGACTCCTCAGGCTATAAACTGGGTGTTAAGAGGCCTGCGAGATAGGAGGGTGCTTCCGTCCTCACACCTGTTGTGGAACTCCCCGCCCTGAGGGAAGTACTGGGCATTCCTGCCTGAACTGGAGGATATATAATCTTGGAGTCTTGGAACTTTTTACCCACTCGTGGGATCCAGAGGAAGACTGCAGACCACCACTCTTGACCAGACTGCAACAGCACTCTCACCAACAGCTTTTTCCCCTCTCCTTTTACTTTGGACTCAGGGGGCCCAAAGAACACCACTCTGTTCATGCCCCAGGGTGCTGGGTTATACATTTGGGTTTTGTGGGTTAAAACCAATTGTTTGTCTGTATAATCGTACTTATTGTATTATTTTACTAAATTGTTATTCTCTCTCTTTTGAGTTGAGTTCATTTCCCCTGCTGGTTTATCTTTAAAGCAGCACAGTAAGCAAGACTAACAAGGGGAAAAAAATCCAAAATTATACTGTTTAAGTAATTCCCAAAAATACTTACAAGTTCAACAAACACACAAATGCATTTTACATTTTTATACAGAAGGGTCTATTGAGATATAAGAGTTCAAAAAGAAAAAAAATAACAGGAAGGTGTTCCTTACTCAGATACCCGGTGTCTTTCACTCACCCATAAGCCCTGTTGTCAGGCAAACTTGTGTGAGCTCTCACTCCTGGAGGAATGACACGGACTTCATTTATGTAAACCACACATGGAAAACGAACTACATCTATATTGGTACTCTGCTACAAAACAAAGAATAAACAAAGTCTAAGAAAGGTAAAATGCAAACAACATAATGTAGCCATAGTCTTTACTAAAAGAACCAGGGTTGCAATCTTAATAATAATAAAATTCAATTCTGTTAAATGTAAACACTATTAGACAGAAAAATGGGGGTTTTCACTTAATCTTCTGGCACTTTTCATATATTTAACAGTATTTTTTATAGAAAATGTTACTGGTTTATTTACATAATTCACTACCTTTATTTGCAAGAATCTTTTAAACAGTAACAGGTTGTTTTTTTCCGACAGAAGATACATGTGGTTTAACTTTAAACACTATCAAATTTAATATTTCAAATGTAACACTAGAAATTGTAATGACACTATAAATCTGTTTTACTAGACCTGTACAAAAATCCCATATGTTTATTTCTTCAATTTTGAAACAACATCTGAAAACCTTTTGCAAATAACATTTCTACTACCCACACAGAAATAGCAATTACAAAGAATTCTTATGCAATCCAAAAAGATGTTTGAGCAAACTAAGAAGTAATCATAAAGTCACAGTAACCTCCCATGTAGCAGCTACCAAATAATTAATGCTGGAAGCTTTCTCTCACTAAATTAACTGTATTAGGTCTTATTCTATTGATCCATCATCTCTACCATATATGAGCTCACAAAACAGTACACACACATCAATTATTTGTCCAAGTGTTTACCAACAAACAAATGAACATTTAAAAAGTCAAAATGGCAGTCAAAATTTACATAACTCACCACAATCAAAAAGCAAATGAAGCCAGCAGAAAGCAAGAAAGTACTAAGATTTTTAGAAAGCTAATAAGCAACGAAATAGACACAAGTAAAGTTTTAAAAAGCTTTTAAGATGTGCTTTTGGGAACACATTGCTGCCATCTAATAAGAAAAATCTATGCATACACTTTTTAGCCCACAAATACAACACCTTGGCCTAAGGGCTGATATTAAAGCTGGATGCTGGAACTGAAGGAATCCTGCTAGGACAGGGAGCACAGATCCATTTAATAGGAACCAGGCAAGTGCAGCCTGCAAGGAGTGAGGGTGGTGGGTGCCCATGGCTTTGCCTCTAAAACATGTCTGTGTTCATGTGGGAGTCTCAGATTTCTGGAGGAAGGGCGGCTGCTGCTGGGAAGGCTTTTGTACCCAGGAGCACTGCTCAAAATAAAGACAAATTCCTGCTTAAATGATAAGTGATTATACCCTGACAGCCACTCATTAACATCATCCAGATGGCAAGTGAATCCAACACACTTTCTCTACAAAACATTAAAAAAGGAAAACGCTACATCAGAACTGCTCAACACTGGTAAACTGAATAGCTAAGCCAAATAATTAATTTTATGCAAAAACACAGCAGTAGTTTTCAAGAACTACAAGTTCCAAGGCAAGACTCATTATCTGCTTAGCTGAAGAATTAGCATAACATAAAGAAGGCCTTTAAGGAACATGTAAAATACATTTTGTATTTTTCTTTAATAAAAACTCAGTATGATTCAGGTTTAGAAAATGTCACTGGCAAGAATGAAAGTGTCAGAAAACCCAGTACACGATTAAAAACGTTCAACACGCGAACATACTGTCCTGGAGGGAAACAGGAGTGGCTACTGCTTCCTACCCAGGGCAACAGCAGTGGTCAGTATTTTCTGCCTAATATTGTCTGAAATAATAGAATTAAAAATACACTTGGACCTAGCTGATCCTGACAGCTAGAAATAACTTTTTAATTGCTTTTGATTGCAGCATCAGCTCAAAATACTCAATTTGCTTCCCCTAACACCTGTCCATGAACGCAGTCAAGATATTCTATAACTCTGTAGCATCTTTGTCACGTTACGCTACACAACCATTTTCCCCCTAATGGTCCCTTTCTTCCTCCCTGAACAGCAAAACAGAGTGAGCCCTGGGCAAAACTGCTGCAAGAACAACAGTTTTAAGGATGCTCAGGTTCCCAATGGCCTCGAAGTGGAATATTTGCACCATCTCCCACTGCCAAAAAAACCTATAAATACTCATTTGTGCACGATGCACAGAGACTGCATAAATCCAAAAGAATATCTCACAAGCAGACAAACACCTCTTCTCATCATCAACTATACAAGAGCATCGGGAACGTCACAAGTGGCCGGGTATAGCCCTCTACCCCGCTCCCTCCCTTATCGCCTTCTGTAAGCACGTTTATCCTCTTTGTTCCCCACTCGCCTCTGTTTTCTGTCACTTTTAAATCTTCGCTCCCTTCCCACCACCCTCCGCCCCGGCCGGCGGTACCTCAGGCTGCCCGGACAGCGGCTCGAACAAGGCTTCGGGCCGGGGCAGGCGAGGCGGCGGCGGCCCCTCAGCGGCCCTTGCCCTGGGGTTGCTCCTGCCCGGCCGCCGCCGGGGCCCGCCCCCAGCAGGGGTTCCGCGGCCGGCGGAGGCCGCGGCGCGGGCAGCAGCGGGGAATAAGGGAGAGGGGGTGAAGGGAGCGAGGAACCCACGCCCCGTTTTACCTCCGCGCTCTGGTGCTTGAACGTGTCCAGGAACAGCAGCTCTGTGGCGGCCTCCGCCGCCATCTTGGCCGGCCGAAGGGGACGCGCATCCGGCGCGCGCTCCAGCGCTTCCGGGGCTGAGGGCGGGGCGGGGCCGGGGGCGGGTCCCGACGCCGTCAGCGCCGTGAGGGGGCTCTTGAGGAACTCAGCGAGTCACAGAATGAATTAGGTTGGAAAAGACCTCTGAGATCGTCGACTCCAACGTGTGACTTGCTAAAACTCGGGCCGCAGTCGGGGTTGTGAGCGGGGCGGTGCCCTCGCTCTCCACAGAGCCCCGTCCCCGCTGGGCGTCACCGCAGCCCGCGCCGAGCCTTTGCTTCTGATATTTCGGTTTCACAAGTTCGGGTCCGGCTAATTTCAATCCTGCCTAAGAAATTTCTTTTGCAGCCTTTGCCGTGCTTAAAACAAACCCTTTCCAGGTGTAAGGAGTTGTCGCTCCTCTCAACCTTTCCGCAGCTCCTGACGTACCTGCTGAGCAGCCACTGCCCTTCTGCAACAGCAACGAAGTTGTACAGCACTGGGGACACCACGAAGCCAAAGCCAGCCCGTGGCCAGGAGAACGATGTGGAATTAATCTTACGCAAGCGCTGTGTGGTTGCACAAGTAGGAGCTCTCATGATAGCAGAGCTGCACCATGTGTCTTTGGAGGAAGCTACAACAGGACATGTTACATCTCTGGACCAAAACTTCAGCCACATACCTGCACTTCCCTTAACAATGATAATTTTGTGCCTTAAGAGTGATAATTGTGCTGTTACCCGCATCTCGTTTCTGAAACAGCTGCTTAATCAAATGTGCTATTTTGTGCATGCATCAGGAATTCGCAAGTCCCTTTTTGCGTTTCAGGAGGTGAGCTTGGTGCTTTGTCAGCACTCCAAACTTCAACTTACACTGGGAGCAGCAGTCCTCTGGGTCGGACTCCACATGAAAATGTTGCATCAATTTAAACAAGGCTGTGGTTCGATATATCCATCTGCAGTGGTGAAACTAGTTCAGGAAGTTCCCATCCCCACAGCACGTGTTGTGGAGCTTGGCCACAACATGCAATTCCACAACCAGTTCTACTGGCACACCTGAAGAAATGTTTTGTGGCACTGCAGGGAGACTCATCAGCTAAAACTTATTCTCAATACACTGAAAACATGGTACTGCCTCATACCATTTCAATAGATATAGTTGAAATACTGCAAATCCCTTGACAGAAACATTTCAGAATCTGAGAATCAAGGGGCCTCCTTGGCCGTGCTGGCAGATTTGCCCCAAGCTAGGACCCTCTCTTACACTAACAGCCAGATCTAAACTCCTGAAGTAAAATATATATATATTTTTTAAATGTAGAAAACAAAAAAAATCCTCTCTATGTATTTTAGTAGCACAATGCCTTGTGACACTAGGCACAGCTTGTTTTGGTTACGTTTATGGACTCTGGAGACTTCTGTGGGAGAGTACCTTTGGAGATCTACTCCAAACATGAGCAACACCATGTGTGCCATTGTGCCAGAGGACCGCAGTCCCAATTAGATGGCTTCTCTCCTGGGACAGCCTGGAACAGTATTGCAACCAGGTCAGCTAGCAGGAGCAGTTTCAGTAACTGGCAGGGGAATTCCAGCCCTGTGTTTTTATCTGCAGTGACTCCCTCACTGCTGGTAACAGCTGCAGCTCTGGATGTGAGAAGAATCGGCTTTGCAGGATTAAATTCAGATGGCTGTGAATGCAGTGTCATTGATTTCAGCAAATGGCTGGGCTTACAGGTCAGTGGTATTTCCTTGCTGCAAGGAAGAGCAGCAGTGTTTGAATGTCACACCCAGTTGCACAATATCAGGAAATAATTTGGGTATTTTTGGGGTATTTTCTCCACTAGTGAAAGCAGAGAAAACAAAATTTTGTTAGGAGCAGCAGTTATCTTAGAGACATTAAAAAAAAGCAGTTGGTAGTAAACATTAGCACGTTCAAAAAACATGATACAGATGATTCTCCAATTTCAGTTGTAAAAAGTTTATATTCTGGAAGAAAACTAGAGCACTGACGGTGAAGAGTGATACAGGTAGGACACTTGGCACAGACCAAAGGTCTGTGCAGGAAAGGATAACAGAGATGCAGGTGGCATTGGGCTGAAGACCCTCCTGTAGAGGAGGGTGGGAGATGCAGAACCAGCAGAAAAAACCTGGACACAGTGCAAAGTCACAGGTTTGTTCAAATAAACTGGGAGGAAGGGGATCACTGAGGTGAGAGAGGGAAGCTTCAGGAAAATGTGGGAAATAAGTAAGCAGGCCTGTCAGTCTCTTGCAGTGCTCAGGAGGGGATGTTAGGACCAGCTCCTTGGCAAGAAGGAAGGTGTGAGTAGCTTCAGAAATGTCCTGAAACAGAAAGTGAAACAAAAGAATGTGTGGTGAGAAACCACCAGAACTAATACAAAAAGGACAGAGAAACAGTTACATTGGGATTAGCAAAGGGGCTGGTCAGATGGACAGCAGACGGGAAACAGAAGGCATGCCAGAGGAGAGAAATACAGCAACAGGGTGCTGGGAGGAGCCTTGAGAGGTCGTCGTGCCCCAAAGCACCTTAGTACCTTCCTGTAGGTAACAACACTGATGTCATCTGGAAGGTGACACTTCATGCAAAGACTATGTTTAACCAGTCCTGGGACAAGGAACAGGCAGGGAGAAGCAACTGGAATGGGAGTACACAAATGCCAGGAGCCTGGGCAACACAACACAGGAACTTAACCAACTGGTACATGTTGTCAGACCAGGTGCTGCAAGCATGCAAGAAAGAGGGTGGAATGGGAACTGTAACTGTAAAACAGGTGTTTTAGGAAATGTGTTATCCAAGAATAAGAAAAATAAAAGCACTACAGTAACAATTAGTGGTGATTAGCTTCCTAAATAAATAAATAAATAAATGAAACAAGGGTTAGTCGAGAACTCAAAGGACATAGTGGGAATTAAAAATACTTTCAGGGTACAGTTTTACCTTTGAAAGGGGTTACTATACATAATGCAGCCTGCTCTAGTGATAAGCTGGGAAGTCTCATACTCCTAGATGGAAAGAGACAAGATAGGATAAGACAATCAGGTATAAAAGGGAAGAAAAAAAGATATATGTAAGCAGAACACAACAAATCACAAGTAAAGAAACAGGTACCCATCCAAAAATCGTTCTCACAAAGACAAGAGCTGCATCTCAAAAGCCAAGCAGGCATCGGGAAGCAAACTTCCTAGAATGGATGATTAAGTTTCACTGAAAGACGAGGAGCCGGGGCTCTCTGTCTGGCATGCTCCAATGTGGAATCATTTCAGAAATGTACTTCTGGTCTTTTGTACTAAACTATAAAGTTTTTTTAAGAAGTTGCACTAAACTAAGACCTGAAATGGAAACTGCACAAAGAAACCCTATACTATTGAATCCCTCTTCTCCAGGCTAGGCAGAGGTCACAAAGCAAACTCCTCAGATGCTGAGTACAGATCAGCTGCAGCCACTGGTGAGGACACACACCCCAGTCCTCTCCTTCCCATATGTTTCACTCAGTGCATCAGAACATCAGAACTGAAATGCCCGAAGAAACCCTCTTCACTCTCATGACCAGTAACAGGACTCGAGGAAATGGCATGAAGCTGAGTCAAAGGAGATTTAGGCTGGATATCAGGAAGAGGTTTTTCACCCAGAGGATGGCTGAGCACTGGAACAGACTTCCCAGGGAAGTGGTCCCAGCACCAAGCCTGCCTGAGTTCAAGAAGCATTTGGACAACACTTTCAGGCACATGGTGTGATTCTTGGGGTTTCCTGAGCAGGGCCAGGAGTTGGACTCGATGATCTTAATGGGTCTCTTCCAACTCAGTATATTCTAAGATTCTATGATCTCAGTAAAAATTTCAAAACGCTGCATCACAATGACATTGGAAATAAACAACTGAGATCCTAAAGAACCAGGTGTACAACAGAATTTCCCTGAGGAAAGTTAGCGTTACTTGTTTACCCTGCCTTCAGTGATTTGTCATTAAAAGATCTGTTTTTGAGCATTATGCATTTAAAATAGAGATTTCACCGCGGAACAGCGATCAGCAGAAGTGAGGTTGTCACAAGGGCCAAAATCACAAGTTCACGGAGGGAAGGCTGCAACAGCCTCACTGGCCAGCTCTTAACACATCACTCAATCCGCCGTGCCCGAGCCGCACAGAAGTTGCGATGCCGCTGCCTTGAGGACGACAGAGGAAGAGGCTCCACCGCCCTGATCCCCTGGGCTCCCTCGTTGCTGCTCCCGGGGACAGCCGGCCCGCACGCCACGACCGTGCTCCCTGGCACCGCACCCGGCCTCTGCGGCCCCCGACCGAGGGAGGAGACCTGCCGGCGGGCTGCGGGCGGCGTGGCCATCTCCCCTCTTCTTGCGTCCGGGGGACGGGGCTGCTCGCGGACGCAGGACCGACCTGCCCTCCGCGACACGTCCCGGCAGGAGCGGGGCCCCGCCCCGCCGGTGAGGAGCCGGACCTCCCCGGGCAGCGCGCCCCGACGGCGGGAGGCGGAGCCCGACAGGGTCCGGGCCGCCGTCGGTGCCCGATGGGGCTCCTCGGAGGCCGGGGGCGGCTCGTCCGCCGCCGCGCTCCCGCAACCCGCCCGCAATCCCGGCACAGCGCTTGGCGTCCCGCCCGCAATCCCGGCCCCCCGTTCCCGCTGCCGCCCCCGCCGCGCTGCCACGTCCCCGCCCGGCGGGGCCAATGGGCGGCGGCGCCAGGTGTGTGTTACCTGCACCACGTGGGCCGGGGGTGGGCAGGTGGTGCCGCGGCCCCGCGCTGAAAAGCCCGCAGCCATTGCGCGCTTCCTAAGGGTGCAGCCGGAGTGGGAGCGGCCGCCGCCCGCCTCGGGAAAAAGGGGTGGGAAAGCGGGGGGAAGCCGTGCGCCTCCCCCGCGCCAGGTCCTTGGGGAGCGAGGCTGCAGGTGGGGGCTCTGCCGCTTGGGTCTCGCCTGGAAGCGCCTCGGGCAGGGAAAGTTTCCGCTCTCTTCTCGTCCCCTTCTCCTCCTTTCTTTCCTCCTTTTTCTTTCTCTCTCTTCTTTCTTTCTCTCCTTTTTATCCTTTCTGCTGACCCTGTGGCACCATGACGGCGTCTCCCGACTACCTGGTGATCCTCTTTGTGACCACGGCGGGCACCAACGGGGCAAGGCTGGGCTCAGACGAGCGAGAGCTGCTCCAGCTCCTGTGGAAAGTGGTCGACCTGAGGAGTAAGGAGGTATTTTCACCCGAGGGGGGAACACCCCGACCTGCTGCTCCCCTTGGCCCTTGCCATGCTGGGTGCGGGTAGGGTGGTCTCAGCGCTGGGCTGGCAATGGGTGCTCCAGGCTGGAGCAGGCTCTGGTGGAGGGCAGGGGCTGGTGCTGCAGGTGAGGACCCCCAGCCCGGGGAGCTGACTCACCCCTCCTCTGCTTTCTCTGGAGCTGGGGCACCTGCATGACGTGCTGGTCCGGCCTGACCACCCAGAGTTGACGGCTGAGTGCCAGGAGATCACCCAGGTGGATGTGGAGAGCCTGGCACTGGCTCCACCGCTGGAGCAGGCACTGAGACAGGTGACACCCCATAACTGGCTGCTGGGTGCTGGTCTCCCTTGGGAGCTCCCCCGTGGGGTAGAGGCAGTGTTATGATCCACTTATGCTTTCCACCCCACCGTGAGGACAGTGGAACCTGGCACAGGGATACCACTGATCTGTGTGGGCCAGGCAGCCTGTATGTGGAGGGCTTTGTGGGCATTTCTTCCTTGCTTTTTGCTCATTCATCTTGTGAGGAACCAACCCCCAAGTGAGGAAGGTCAGAGTCAGATATTCCCCTACCCTGCTCTCCTGCCATGCTGGACTCTGAATGAGTCTCACCTGAGGGTGAGCCCCAATCAGTGTTGGAAGAAGCCAAGTTTAGGTGTCCCCTGAAAAGGCTGGGTGGTGGCAGGCCCTGTCAGAGCTTATGTTCATCAGTCCTGAGAAGGTGACAGTACTAAAGCCCCTAGATTAATAAGGAGGTGTGTGTGATTTCCATTGAGGGTAGGGCTGAAAACCTGTCTCCTTTCCAACGTGTTTGACTACCCTGTCTGAAAAGCTCTTCTGCCCCAGGACTGCCTCAGCTCTCTGCAACCAGCTTTATGTCTCATTGCAGTGCTTTTGCAAATGTTTCTCAAAAAGGTTGGGTTTTTTTCTGGGTTGTGGACTGTCTGTGTAGCCATGTTTCCTTAAAAAGGGGAAAAGGGGTGGTTTCCAGTGATGATAACTATGAAAGTTAGTATGTGCCAAGCTAGTAAGAAACTAATCTACAGAAGTGAAGTAGTGGGCTTATGCAAAAAGGAATTCTAGCTCCATGTTCCTGCTGACCAGGAATAACGTGTTACCAACTGATGACACTGCATAGTGTAACTATTCTGATCTCTTTAACATGTATGTTTTTTCTTGTTCCTGCCTACAGTTTAATCAGTCTGTGAGCAATGAGCTGAATATTGGTGTAGGTACTTCCTTCTGTTTCTGTACTGATGGACAGTTGCACATTAGGCAGGTTCTGCACCCTGAAGCTTCCAAAAAGGTATGTAGTTGTAGCTTAAATTTGAATCCTAATGTACTTTCTATGATTTCTTGCAAGACTGATAACTTCTCTTTAGTATGAGGGTACCTCCACACAACCATAGCACAAACATTACTCGTATGTTAATGTGCTTACCAGGCTAAAGAGCCTGTCCACGTGGAAGACACAGACAGTGCCCTGTGCCTATGTAGCCTTGAGATGCCTTTTTAAGTTGAATCAAAAGGAAGATACTCTTTAACTGTTTGAGAGAGGAGCACTGACAGTATTCATAGCTTCTACAGCTGTAGGAGCTGCAATGGATTAAGAGGTGGGATTTGGAAATGTTGCTAAATAGTTAACCACCTTAATCATAAACTGTCTTTTGAAATTTTACGTTCACGTGTAGCTTCGGCAACTTTCAATCTTTGTGTATTCAGCTGACACTCTGAGGGCGGTGTTCGTATTTGTAAGGAGCTGAACAGTAGTTTGAGGCAGGATATGAGTGATGATTAGTCTCATAGTCTAGAGTTTTCTATAACTTCAGAGCTGCCAAATCGCTAACAGTGTTACAAGGTCCTACCTACTTTTCATTAGTGATAGGGTTCCAGCAATATGCTGTCTCTCTCTAGTTCTGAAATAACTGCTTCAATATTAATAACACCTAATTTTGTGGTATGAACATGCATTGCTCTGTAACTGAGCTGTTCTGCTCCTCTCTTTGCAGCTGACTTTTGTGCCCATCAGTTTGCTCCTTCATCTTTGAAAGGGCACTGCTGCAAGTCTGGGTTATTACAAAACTGATACTGAATGAGTTTGGTTGCAATACTTGTTGGGGCTTTAAGTGTTTATAGCTTTGAATGCTTAGAAGAGAAATAGCATGATTCATGGTAAAGGGACAGTCCTGTAACTTGTCTTCCATGATGTATAATGTGAGAAAATGTGGAAACAGGTTTTTAGTGGACTTTCTTCTTGGTTAATAAGTCTCTTCATCCATTTAAATTATGTGGATAAAAGAAGGGACAACTCCTACAATTATTTAAGTTGATTGATGTTGGGGATAGGCATCCTTTTTCTGTATCATCACAGGGTCACAGACAGGAATCAAATCTTCATCAAAATATTGTCTTGCTGTTTTGTTAAGAATTATTCATCTAAAATTTGTTCTGTGCTGCCTGCAGATAAAGTAAACCAGATGCATATGAGACTCTTAAATAGTTCTTTTGCGAATACCCTAATTCAGAGATTTGACTGTGTGATCACTAAAATCTAAATAGGCAGAAACCACTAGGCTCTTGATTAAGATGCCCATTCTGAACCCAGCTAGCAACTCATGGTATTCAGAGAATGAATTGGCATCAACTATTCCAAGTGAAAGTTTCATTTTACATCATGGAAGAAAGAGTCATCCTAAAACTAAAGCAGAAAATCTTGGCAAGCACACTTGCATTTTCATAAGTTTGTCTCTAAGAGTGTCGTTTGCCTAATGCAATGTCCATATGCTAAGATAAGCTCTAACATTCTCAAAACAGAACTTGTTTTTAGAGCCTAAACTTCTTTCTTTGGGCTTCCTAAGTATGCTTTCACATAGCCTGTTATTCTGTTATAATGTCAAGATGCTAACTAGTAGTTATATCCCAGAAAGCCCGTACTTTTAGTCTAGAGAGCCTTGCAAGCAACAAACAGCCAAAAGGAGTATGAAGTATTCTGTCTGTGGGGAACCTCTGGGGTGAAGAGCTAACTAAAGGAGTAAGGTTTGTGTTGGTTTCAACAGCTTCCCCCAAGACTTCTCCATGTCTTTTCTTTGACACCCCCCAGGAAAATTTAAGTGTGTGGTAAATGTAGGGGGGGGGGGGGGGCAAAAGGGGTTTTATGGGCTTCTAGTGGGCTACCTAACTTGCTTCTGGCTTCATACACTGTAATTAAAGCAGTTACTATGCACAGATTGCCAAGCTCTGCACCATGTCAAACCCTCATCTTCTTTGCTGGGAATAAATATTTGAAGTGTGACTACTCTCTGAAAACTCAGCCTTGTCTATAAACTGAAATATCATCTGCTAGTCTCGCAAATTGTGCTTGGATCTGTAAGCTGAACTGAGTGCCCTCTGGCATTTTACAGTTAAAACTGGAATCAAGAACTGATGATAAGTTACAATAGCAGGCATTTGCTCTTGTACATATATATTGGATTTGAGGCTCTAGTAATAATCGCAAATATTTCTCTGGCAGCGCAAAAGCACATTTCTCTTTTTAAACTATATAGAGAGAAAGCTGGTTAAGCAAAGAAGTTTATAAAAACGTACTTACCTGGCTAAGAAGAGTTAGGTGAGTTTCTCTGTAGCAAAGGATGCTTGTGTTTCTTACCTGTTTATATAGAAATTGTGAGACAGTTTGGTATCTAAAGACAAAGTGCATTAAACTCACCCTGACAGCAGTTACTTTGTTCCTGTTACAGAATATCTTACTGCCTGAATGCTTCTACTCCTTTTTTGACTTGCGGAAAGAGTTCAAGAAGTGTTGCCCTGGCTCACCTGAAGTTAGCAAACTCGATGTTGTGGCCATGACAGAATGTATCCTTTTAACAGTGATGGTGTCTGCTGCTGTTACAGTCTTGGCTGAATTCTAGGACAGAGGTGTGTGAGTAATGCTTGCAACATATGCTTGGGGGTGATATAACTTTAATGAGTGACTCGTAGCTGTACTGAGCTTTCTCACAAAGATAAAAACATATGAAGATGTGTGCTTCCATGGAGAAAAACCCATATTTCTTCTTGACTTCTATGTTTTGTTTATCATCTTTATAGTTTTCTCTCTTTAAACTTCACAGTTTAGTGTAACTGGCACATCTGTTCAAATTGCTGTTATGAATCATAATATTAAAGTTTGAGGTGGTTCATTGCATCAGTTAGATTTTTATCTAATTTTTAGACAAGACTGAGTGTTGGGGGACTATCTTCATTTTCAGGAAAGGGAAAGGTTATTCTTGATGTGAACTTGTAGTGAATCTCCAATGCAGGAGTGAACCTAAGGCAGGGATGCTGTTGGCATGTGTGATATTCAGTGTCCTGGGAGATGCATATGTTGCACCTCACAAGCCTCGGCTGGCACTAAGATGCTGTCAGTAATATGTTTCCATTTTCAGTGACAGGGATGTCTAAAAGTACTTTCTGAATAGTCTGAAGTGGTCTGTAACCTAGTTCTGTCTGTCTCTTTACCTAGTCTCAGCATGCTTTTGTTTGTATGCCATGCACAGTCAGGAGGGCTGAGGCTGTGAATGGTTTGGCAGTGCCTTCTTCCTTGCTTCCCTGGCAGCCTCTCCTCTTGCTACAAGCTTCAGTCCTCATCTCAAACATACTCTTGGACACAGAAACACTTGACTTCCCTTCTGAACTGTTGAAGTATTGATCACAAAAAGCTACCTAGGAAGGAACAGTAAAGGAATTTGAAGTTCTTCTCTATTATTGGTAGTTGTTGTGGCTATTGTTTTTAATAACTTTGACTAGCTTACTGTGTCTGTGGAGCGCTTGCCTTTAGGAGCTGTGGCTTCTGAATTATTTTGTCCTTTCACTGCAGGACTAGTATTGCCTGGGCTTTGTACCTGTGTCAGGGGGCATAAAATACATACGTATTTATGGATTTTTTTTTTTGTGTTTAACCATAAGGTTGAATACTGGAGGCTGCCTGCTGTGCTTTGTCATCTGCAAATTAAGATTAATCTCCGCTAGTGAAGAGGCAGAAACTACTTCTCCCCCTACTCTGAAGCAAAGCAGTACACTTAAAGTAGGAGTCTGACTATGTAGAAAAGTGAAATAAAGGCTGTGTTGCATAGAAACTGGATATTGGAGGCTTCTTGAACTTATGGTCAAATTTAATACACTGTTTAGGGAATACTTTGACATGAGCTAGAGAAATTAAAGACAATGAGCTATTTCAACTGTTTTGGAGAGTTGCCTTTGCTTTCTTTTCATGTGAATGTCTGTGGTATGTTTTGCCACTCTGGAAGGAGCTGTATGACTGTAGCTGTCTGGAGTGTCACTGGTCAGCTGAATCATGGTGAGGACTGTGTATTCCCTGGCTGCTGGGAGAGGAAAGTAGACCACCCTGTGTTACATGATTGTCAGGAAGCCCCTAAAGAGTCAGTACCATCTGAGAGTGATTTTGTCAGGTGCCAACAGTATTTTCTCCAAGTTCCTAGGGGCTTGGTCAGTCTATCCAAAGGCACTCAGCATGAATCTGAATTCTGGATATGATATGCTTCTTAAGGTATATAAACCTAACTTCATTCTGGTCTTATATTAATTTCTGTGGTTTGTCTTGTTTTGTAACTGCTAATGTTCTTATTTGTAAAGTTGCTATGGTTATGCAACATGGCTAAAATAGACTGTCTCTGCCCTATGTTGTTTAAGAGTGTTGGGGGCAGAGGATGAAGAGACCAAAAAGGGTAAAACAATTTTTGTTTTCCTTTTATTGACAAATATAATGATTTTTTTATTTTTTTTTCTCCTCACCTTGCTGAAATGTACCAAATGAAGCTGTATAAATTAATTGCACTTGGAGAGTCTGGACATGTATGTAATGTTTGAGATAAAAAGGTTGTTGAAGCAGGTGCTAGGTCTAAAGACTAGTACAGTTGTATGCAGAATTGTTTGGGTTTCTTTTCCTTGATGTGTGGATATGCTGTGGGGGACACGGAAACAAATGCATTAGGTTGAAATGAAACTGAAGATTAGTGCACAGAATCTGACCAAGCTCTTGTTATTCTTGTAGAAAGTGCAGAAATTCAGCCCCGTTGCTAAAGAGGCTGCATGAAGGGAATCTTCCATGGTTTCTACCACACAAACTATACTGTGCTGCTTTTCTTAGCATTTGTTGAGAATAGAAGGTTTTAGTACAGGGATGGGGTACTGACTAGGGATTCAAGAAATGTGTATTTGCAAACTGGTAAGAACAGGAATAGAATAATTTTTGGGCACATCCCTTCATGTACTTACATTTCCATTTATCTGTGTGTAAGATGGTTGTGGTCAGTAAGAGGAAACTTGTATGATATAAAATAGTTAAGGGAAAGCTGGGTATTAATCTTCAGTTACTTAAATTATTAAAAATCTTCAAAAGCTTTTATTTTTATGTGTAACATTTGATTAAACAACAAACTGCAGGCAAATGGAGGATGTACTCTATTACTCCCAATAATCAGGGGAGATAACTTCCTACTGCACAGTCATTCTAGATATATATTTCAGTATATAACACACTGGATAGTAGGGAATTGGCTGTGTATTTCTTGCAGACAAAGCAAGCATAATCTTGAAAAAGAACATAGAGATAATAAACTGAATAATTGACTGGGTTATTCTTCCTCTAGAAAATCCTTTGGGGATCTATTCTTTCAGCAGACTACTTGAAATTTGTGTACAGCAATGACACCATTCCAAAAGCTCAGGGAAAGGTTTACATATCTTCCCTCTTCCTTCCTCCAAGAAATTGTACATTTCATGTACAAATAGCCACTGATTTCTTTTAATTCAAGGTAAAGCAATTTTTAGAATGCCATGAAATTTGAGGGACCAAGGAAGAACTGAAACTAGTTGTAACTGCTCAATCTCTGAGTGCTACTGCTGCTTAACTCATGGTCTCAAAACAGTTCTTAATGTAGGAGACAGTCTTCTGGCAGAATTTATTTGGAATTGTGTAAGTGTAATGGCAGCAGGACAATTATGAGAAATTTCAAGTAACAAAACTTGAGAGAAGTGATCATGTCCCAGCAGAGAAAGGAACTTGGATCTGTTGAAATCTTTTTTTTTTTAATGTGTAAGCATACAAAAGGAGCAGGGTAGTTCTTGCACCCTCTGTACTTCCCATACTTGCTGCACTTCTTGATTTGCAAAGCTTGCCGAGCCAGTTTTCACCCTGTGAGTGCCTTTAGGGTGGAGTGAACAAAGCTTGCATGACTATTCATATTAGGTCTGCAGAAGACTCATCCTTTGCCTCGAGATTGGGTGTGCAGGAGCCATTAAATGGCAAATAGCTCTTGCTTCCTCCGGTGCTTGGTTTGCTCCACTTGTGAACTGGATTTATGAGAATAACTCCTTACTAGGAGTATCTGACCATGTTCTGAGTAGGAACACAGGTGCACTTCAGAACAACCCGCTTAATGTGTGGGATACTGTAGTACTGAAACTTGGTTTGTTGAGGGTTTATTGTTTTGGTTTTTTTTGACCTGGGTGGCTTGCAAACAATGATGTGGAACACAGTTAAAACCAATAGTGCCTAACTCTGGCAATGAAAAACCCTTAACTGGGCATTGCCTGAGAATCTTGGATATTGCTATTTGTATTTCCTGTGATAGTACTCAGGAACTGGGTAATATCAGATTACCTTTATGCAAAGCATTATTTAAAAAGATATAATCTTCTGTCTAAAGAGACTTAAATAAGAAACAGAACAAAGGGGAAAGGGTCAATGCAGAGCACAGTTGCAATGCTGTTTCATGTCATCTCAGGTTAAGTTAGTTGTTCAGTAAGAAAGGAGTTAAGAGACTGAGAAATGGAAGAGACAGTGGGAAGGAAGAAGTCTTGGAGGGCACTGACAGAAAGTGAAGCTGTGGTGATGAATCTGAGGAAGCTATCTAGAAACTTCTTCCATGTTATAGAGGCCACCATGATGTAGAATATGCCTTTCCTCCTGGTCCCTTTAACTTCCTGAGTGTTGCAGGAGGTGGTACCATAGCTGCACAGCAAGATTAAGTAGTTGTTTCCTATCCTGCCTTATTTGGGAGTATCATTTGCTTGTTGCTTTGTTAGGAATATACATTTGTATGCTACTGCATACAGTAGCTTTAGACAACCAGGTCTGTTTTGTAGCACTTCTTTAAATGTAAACTTGGACTATCCACAGCAATTGCCTCTTTTCAATTGCCCAAGAGAGGCATCCTTTAAATAAAAATGTACACAAACATGTATGATCTCCTATCTCTTCACAGAACCGGGGTGGGTTTTATAGAGACTATTCAGTTAACAGAAGTGTTGAGAACTTCTAGTGTTTCTGTCCACAGGAGTCCACCTCTGTGTAATCGGTCTCGTTCATTAGAATATGGGGTTTCACTTAAACGCATGTTAATAATAGTGACTTATGTGCAGAAAACTATCAATTCTCTTCTCCAGTCTTAGCTGAAAGCCTTGCTTTTAACTAATTGGAGGTGAAGGTGTGAGCAATTTCTTACTCCTGCTAATGTTTATGACTTTCTTCCTCCCCTCCCACTGTGTTTATATTAATCTAGAGTTTGGCACAACTGACTCTGTCTGACATCTGGTACCAACTTGCATTGGCACTAGGGTGTTTTTAGGAACTACAGCTCCTGTGGATCAGTGTCTTCAGAAAACGTTTTCATTGAAGGAAATGAACATGGGGTGGTGGAATTGTTTGTTTTCCTTGTGTGATAGCCTCTCTTCAAATTCTCAGCCCCTTCAGACTGCTGCATTCCCTCCCTGGCAGCTGATCGCTTGTAGGGATCTTTGGCTCTGCACAAAGGAAATATTGAAATGTCTTTTCAGTTCTGACAGCACAGTCTAACAGCCAAGTGTGTGTGTGTGCACATGTGTATGCATGTCCCCTGCTGGAATAGCTATTGAAACTGCTGCCCAATTTCTCTTTATTTTTGACAGAGGAAAGACATTTCCAAAATCTTCATAAAAATGTGTCAGGCAAGACCAGTGTTCCAATACCTGCATCTTCAGCAGCTTGTGTTTCCCTGGACAGACAGTAGAGACTCTGCACAAACCCAGTGTGGAGCTGTTTGCTGCAGGGGGAAGGATGTTGGGAAAAGGAGGAGATGCACTCCTCTGCTCTAATACACAAGGTGCCCAGAAACATCTGTGTGGTACTGCTTAGGTACCCTCTCTGCAAGGGAGCCTGTTTGTGGGTTACTTTTCTTTTCAACCCCCTCTTTCCCAGGGACAGAGGGAGGAGGCAATGTCAAGTTTAAAGCTTAGGAAGAGATACTACAATGAAGAAATTTTTTATTGTCATAAATAGTGTAATCTCTTAAACTGTGTTTTTGAGATTTTTCAGGTTTTTTATCTTGGTTTTTAAGACAACTATTTAATTTTCTCAGTACTTTACCCCAAAGAAGGTACCAGGAGGGAGGATAAAGGCAATGACTAGCAAAGTATTTATAGTCAAGCAGTTGGAGGGGAGGAATCACTGGTTTAAGTTGTTGGGTTTTTTTGTAAATTATGATAATTCACTTCAAATGTTCTAAGACTAAACATCATCCTCTCACTTTCCATACTCTAGTGCACACTTAAAACCAACAAAGTCTCAAAATCAAGTTAGCCTCAAGTGTATTGTCGTGGCACAGCAGCTTTTGTTTTGTTGCTGTGGAAGAGGAATGCATTAATTCAGTTGAAATTATTTTTCATCTCACAACAAGACAAAAAAAATCTGTTTTGTATAGAACCGACTTGCAGTCATCCTGTGAATAATAGGTAAGACTCTGTTTCAAAAGAAATTTGCACTGCCTCACCAGTTGATTAGATGACACGACAAAGCTTCTGTGAGGTGTTTGTTTCTAGCAGGAACTGTTCTGTTCCCTGCATTTCACGTAGGCATCTGCCAACTCAAACTTTGCTCAGCTCTAGGTGGAGAAAACTTTTTTTTTTTCTTTTAAGAGGAAACCTGCTGTCTTGGACTATGAAGCAGCTTTTGAGCACCAAAGTGCAGGCTCTTGAGCATTTGAAATGTACCTAATGTAGTTTAGGGGGGGATGTGGGCAAGTTTTCAATGTCTTGCATTACTGTACTGCCGTGCCAGCATGAGTCTGGTTTGAGAAACTTTCACTTTTGCTCTGAAGTTTGGATGCAAAGTGATAAGGCAAGTAAAAAATTGCAAGTTCTATTCCCAGTTTTCTTTATATTTTTTATTCTGTTCTTGATTACTTTTTTACCCTACACTCTTCAAAGAACGGGATGTGAGTGAAAAAGACCTTTTTAAAAATTTGCTTCATGAAGTAGAGTTGCAAGTAATCTTAGTCCTGTAACCTGGTGTTGGAGAGGGGCAAATATGATGGAAGAGGGAGACATACTGTAGTAAACTGTTTGAAGTTGTCTGAAAAAGGGTGGTATATGCAACTTAAATCAGACTCTGTTTGTGAACACGTGGTTTTTATTTGGTCTATCTATGACCTGTCTTTCCAGGACAGGGCACTTCCTGCTCTCTATTGCAGTCATTTCCAAAATCCTTCAAATTGAAGAAGATATGGGTTGTGGGACTGGTTTGCATCTTGGGAAAACACAAGAGTGGTGGATTCTTACCAGATTATCCAGATGCTTCTGTATAAGAGCACAAAACTTGTGTTGTAACTTCTAATAGGCAAGGTTTAGACGAAGTGCCATTTGTGGGTTTTGTTCAAGTGGTAAGATACTTATTCTGCCTTGGGATTTACTTATTCAGAAAGTGTGTGGTATATCCTCCTATTTCTGGAGCTTTTAGTTTATTATTTGCTGCTTCTTCTCCAAATTTTTCCCTAGAGATTAAAGATTACGTTAATTAAAGAGGACAGGACTCCAGTCTCTTCCACATGCAGAAGTGTATCTGTCAAACATACATAATTCATGGATTTATTAAATATATGTCCTTATTATAGGGTCTTATGTCTGCAGACACTTCCTGAAATGACCTCACATTCCCGCAGGTGGCAGTAGTTGGAGGACAAGGCAGAGCAGCTAACATATCTCGGCAGGCAAATGGATTAAATTTTCCCTTGAGAAGTGACTTTCCATCAGGGATAGCATGGAAGTGTGTTTGTCTGTCAGGAAGCCAATTAGAAATCTGTTTGGTGATGATTGACTTAACTCCAGCACAAAGATTTAAATCTTGATAAGAACAGTCCAGCATTTCCGTATGGAGCCTCTCAAGTTGAAGATATGGGGAATATTATTTTAACACTAATATCTGAACCATACAGTAAGTGATTGTGATGAACGAGTTTTCTGTTTCTTCTTTGGTTTTCCTACCTGTTCTGTGTGCTGATGAAATAGGAAATAACTTGTGCTGTATTTCACAGATCACCGATTTTCAGATCCAGAAAGAGTGAACTACAAATTTGAAAGTGGGCCTTGGTAAGTACTTTCTCTCTCTTGTTGCTGCACATATTTCAACCCCCACCACTTCCTGTTTAAAGTTACTGTTTAGGTAAACTGTGCTTGTCTGTATTTCTAATTTTCAAATAGCTGTTACCTTTATTTCTATTTGTCTTGCCACTGCTGTGGCAATCGATTAGATCCTTTAAGTGGCAAAGGGAACACATATTCTATGATCGGATGCAAACCAGTTTTCTTGTTAGGCTTCAATGTTGCCAATGTTAGCTGCTGATAGTTCTGGGTTCTGCTAATAAGTGCTTATAATGGGTGTTAAGTGTACTGTGCTGTTAACAAAGAATGTAAGCAGTGTTGCAGAAGTAACCCTATTGGTTACTAAATCTTGCATTTTCCTGCAATTTACTCCATAGTTACTGCATACACATCATGATTTTTTTTTTTATAGGGAAGAAACACTTTTGTAAAGGTACTGGGCAAGAGGTTCTGTGCTACCAGTCAGTTGCTTAAGCTGCAATGATTATCTTATTCCCAAATATGTTTTAAACATAAAACTTTATCTGCTTTTGACTGCTTTGTTGTTTGGTTTGGGTTTTTTAAATGTAACTGTGCTCTTTCCATGTATAAATACAGATTTTTCTCAGTGGTTTGCTGGATGCTCCCTCTGCAATATCATGAGACTGGTGTTAAACTGACTTTATTTATATTCCCAGCTTCCACAAATACTTACTTCCCCCTTCCAGATTAAGGATCTGTCATAATGGTAGATGATACACTTCTGAGTCAAAAGAAGCAAGAAAAAATGCAACAAGATTGGCAGAAAGTATCCAGAGAGATTGGCTCAGGGATTATGTTCAGCATTGTTCTAAGCTTTTTCCTTTTCACTAACAAAATTCTGGGGTGAGGTGGAAGATTCCCATCTTATTTGCGATAGTGAGAAGTACAGGATTAGGAGGCAAGGGGAAACAGTTTGGGACAGACAGCTACAGACAGAAAGGCCACCCGAGAAATTAAAAGATGAGTGAGAAACATGACCCTTCTATAAAAAGGCATACCACAGCCCGTTTGTATGAGGGACTCCTCTGCTACTGAACAGCACTTCATCTGCTTAATCAATCACATTGTCTCTTCTGTGCAAAAACCTGTTCTTGCAGTAGCCAGAAAGGCAGCCTTGGGTAGCTGTGAGCGTTTTGTTGTAATCGACACTTTTAACGAGTAAGAGAACAAAAGAGACTGCGGTAATGACCAATTAAGCCTGGCTTTCTGTGGCTGAGCTATTCCCATGCTAAGCAGCCAATGTAGCCTTTAGCTATATTAGTCCCTAGTAGCATGGTGATGGCCTGAACAAGCAATGTTACAGCTCAACTCTTGGGGCAGGAGTTCTGTGTGTTCTCAGTACAGCCAAGAACAGATTTGGTCTTGGCTGGTGACTGGCTCTTAACACACTGTCACAGTACAACTAATAAGCACTAATCTCAGTTACATCTAATTGCTCTGCTTCAATTTGCACCTGTCTAGATTAGAATAGCAAGTGCTTGATTTTTATACCAGGAACCTTGTTCAGATAATGGAGAAGCACAAATGATGTCAGGAGAGGGAAATAAATTGGGAACATGATCAAAGAGATGACAGGTCAAAGAGAAAATGTGATGAAGCAGGAAAAGGGAACTGGGAAAGGGGCAGCTTAACAAAGCAAACTTTCCCTAGGATAGACTTTACCTAGGAGTGGCTTTCAGTTGTGGTGTGGCTTTGGATGGTGGTGGCACTTGAGCCTCTGCCATCCAGTAGACATGGAACAGGGAGAGAGGCCTGTCCCTGGAACACAAATGGCAAGAAGAGAGGGTGGTGTGTGACAGACACTACAGGCAAATGTTTCTCCCTGTTTCTGTGCCTGCAGCAGCAAGATGGAACTTGTGGATGACAATGCTGTTATCCGAGCAAGAGGATTGCCCTGGCAGTCGTCTGACCAGGACATAGCGAGATTCTTCAAAGGCCTAAATATTGCCAAGTTAGTAGCTAAGACTTTACCTGTACATTTGTAGTGCTTCAACTGTGGAAGTCACGGAGTTTCATCTCTTTTGATTTAAATCTTGCAGGGGAGGTGCTGCACTCTGTCTCAATGCCCAAGGTAGAAGGAATGGGGAGGCTCTTGTGAGGTTCGTAAGTGAAGAGCATAGAGATCTAGCACTACAAAGGCACAAGCATCACATGGGGAATCGATACATTGAGGTGCGTGACACTGGCTTTGAAATCCTCTTCTCAAAAGGAATGTGAATTGCATGCCAATCACATGTTCTCTTTTCTTCCTTTAGGTATACAAGGCAACAGGTGAAGACTTCCTTAAAATTGCAGGAGGTAATTTTTAGAGGACGAAAAGGGATCACTAACTTTTGGCTTTAAACTGCTCCCATTGAACGTGACTTTTCATTTTCTGTCTTTGAACAAGTTGGCTGGTGTATTGATTACTAGGTACTCTGCTAGCAGAAGTCAAAGATGTTCCATAATTTGTCCACCTTTCTCTTCCACATTCTTGCCATTTTCAAGCAGCCTGTCAAAGCAGGATTTGATTGGGCAAAGTGATCTTCTATACAAACTTAATTTTTTTAGGTCATCGTAACTGTGGGGATCTAAATGTTATTGACTGCTGAAAAAATGAAACCAGAGTAGTTTTTCAAAGCAATATGACTGCTGTTGCTGTGGAGATTTGCACATAAAACCAAACAGATATCATACTGTAAATACAAGGGACCAACTTTCTTCAGATCAAATCTTTGCCTCAAACATAATGGGGAGGATTTAGGGGAAATGCTTATTGAAGGGGAATATTGAAATATTTGCTGATAACTGAAAGACAGCAAAATTTACTCTACAAACTACCCCTTGGTCTCTTTTCATCTCCTTTATGTCTGAAAGTGTATGGAATTTGAATTTAGATCCAATAAACTGTTATATCTACAATAGTACCTTAAGGTCCTTGTTGGTCCCTGACAGAGATTTGTTCTGGGGATTAAGTGACTAACTGGATATCTGAGTTTGAGTTGTTAGTGTTGGAAAGGCTGTTAAGCTGTCAACTAAATAGCTCACCGATAGGCTTGGTAACAGTTATACTAGCCAAAGTAAAGACGTTGCACTCCGATGTTGGTGAAGAACGGTGCACGTCTGGTGCAACCAAACTTCACAGCACAAGAGCTGTAAGTGAAAGGACTGAATTAAGATATGAAGTTGGTTAGCAACTACCTTTGGATGGGGTAGTGTTTTGAGGGCTTCTCGTAAAAGTACTGAAAGTAGAACTGGCAGACTTTGACAGTTCTGTCAGGATAGGATGAAATTCCTGAGCTGTTTGCAACATGCCCTTCCAACTTTCCTTCCCAGCACGATTATCTAGATACTTAGTTGCTATATATTTTGGCTTTAGTGCATGCTGAAGGTATTCCAAATTTAGAAAGGTGAAGTGCACAGTAGCACAGGTAATGGTTGCACTAGATATTCAGAGACTGTGCTTTCCTTGGACTTTGAACACTGCAAGTACTTATTTTCCTTTTGAATAAGGAGAAATATCCTCTAAGTGATGGAGTAACATTATTATACTTTAATGGGAGGTGTCTTCTACAATATATCTAGTTTATCAGAGGGACATCTTTCCTGGCTTTGGAGGCAAATACTCTTCTACCTGCTCAAAAACTGTCTGTGGGGAGGACTCAGCTATGCCAGACTTGCTCATGATTTTCTGTGGCTGCCTAGACTTAAGTGCTTCTGTACTTTTTCTTGTTAAAGGCACTTCCAACGAGGTTGCACAGTTCTTGTCGAAAGAAAATCAAGTGATTGTCAGGATGCGAGGTCTTCCTTTCAATGTAACAACAGAAGAAGTGCTGACTTTCTTTGGCCAGCACTGCCCTGTAACAGGAGGGAAGGAGGGAGTCCTGTTTGTCACATACCCTGACAGTAGGCCGACAGGAGATGCCTTCGTCTTGTTTGCTTGTGAGGAATACGCACAAAATGCACTGAAAAAGCATAAGGACTTGCTGGGGAAAAGGTACATTGAACTCTTCAGGAGCACTGCAGCAGAAGTTCAGCAGGTGGGTGCAAACTTTGCAAACATTGGCTTCTTGTTATCCAAACTTCCACACTGGCAGCCGTGAAAGCAAATACTAGTTGGCCATGACTTGACAGCTTCTTTTATCTTCTATCACTCTTCACTCTTGCTGGAATGAGTACTGTCTGAATTTCTAGGAGGCTCTGCTTCCTCAAAATGTAAGACTATGGTATATGGATGTTCTCAATCATATATACAAGCCTTTGGGGTTTTGGCTTCCAGTAGCCTTGCAGAAAGTTGGTGTGAGTCTAGTGCTTTACACTACAGATACTGAATTTTAGAAAGTCCAATGATGGTCTATTCAGAAGGAGTGTTAGCAACAAATCTTGATCTAAAAGACTTATCTTTAGTCACTGACACAGAAAAGCAGAGTTTTTTTGATGTAGTTGTCCTCTTCAGAGCAATGTGTCTGAAGAGTCTTACAAATTGCCTCTAAGGGCAGATCTCTGCCATCTTCTGCCAGCACAGGCTACCTAGCAGAGGGTGGCATGACTTTGTGAAACTGAACCTGAAGAGTCTGGTGTTAACAGAGTTTGCTGCACTATTAATCGCAGTTATGCTGTTAGGGAAAGGAAGTAGGGCTGAGAGGATTGTTTAAGTCTCCAAAGACTTGTAGAGCTTCAGTTGAGGCCATTAACTTCTAAATGTAATTCTAAAAGGTGTCATCTCTGGTGCAAATTATAGCCATGTTATTGTAACCAAGAAATGATGCAGCTCTGTCCTCCCAAATATGTAGAGATTTCAGTGTCATGTTTAAAAGGTGCCACTAATGATAAGGCAGAGCTGCAACACTCACTCTTGTCATTGTATTTTTCTCAAGTGCTCTCATATATTTCTTTTAGTAAAGCCTTCTGGTAACTGTGTAAATGCAAATAAATCTTTATCTTGCTTAGAGTTCAAGAGTAATGATTGAATATTCAGAGAACTCTTCACCAGACAGGGTTTTTACTTTTAAAATTATTAATAAGAAATCTCAAAGCGTGACTGTCACAGATACTGTGATTCAGCAACGTCACCTGTTACTTCAATGGACTATTGCATCCCAAATTGGGTGTTTGGTAGTGAAATATGCTGCTAGTTCCCTGATTCTCCTAAAATTTTGCAGAGGAGATGTTTTGGATAAAAATGTCACCATGATTCTGTAGATGGTAGGATGTCTTAGGATACTTTCACAATAAAAATACTGTAGAAATACTGTAGAAATGCAGGTTTCATGTTCTAAGATCTCTTCTGAGAGTTACATTAACAGTTCAAGTAAATTCTCAAAAAGAAAATTGTTTTTCAGGAAAAAACATTGATTTTAAAACATCTGAATTCTAAGCACTGCTGTTGTGGTTTAAGCTCAGAATCTAGCTCTCTTGTTTCTTAAAATACTGCAATGGAAACAGTGAGTGAAAACAAATGGCACTAGGCTTATGTTCTGTCCCTCTGAAGAATGAGTAAGGAAGCTTCCTGTAACTTCTCTGTTTTTGTTTGCACAGGTGCTGAACAGGTACTCTTCCACACCTCTCATTCCTCTTCCAACACCTCCTATTCTTCCAGTATTACCTCAACAATTTGTGCCTCCCACAAACATCAGAGACTGCATACGTTTGCGTGGTCTTCCCTATGCTGCTACTATAGAGGACATTCTGGAGTTCTTGGGAGAGTTTTCTACAGATATTCGGACCCATGGAGTTCACATGGTACTGAACCACCAGGTTGGTAGGCAACGTATTTCCAGACATCTGCCAAATGCTTGTATATGTGAACATAGTCCTTCTGAGGATATCAGTAGGGAAGCACCTTTGGGATTGGCACTAATGGTATTAGTGGGCCTCCAACTCTCCTCTAAAGGTGTACTGGCAATAAATGATTTGAACCCTGCTGTGTAAGCTGCTGCATTTGCTGTAGAGTGGTTTCTGTTGCTGAGACCCATGTGCTGAAAGCTAAGCCACAGTCTTGGAGGGGTTGGTGCTCTCGGAGCAGCAACTGTGATCCTGCACTGTAGGAGGCTTGAACTGAAGAGTCTTGCTCAACAGCATGCATGATTCCTCTTGTGCCAGGCAAAGAGTGCCTTCCAAACAGAAGTGTGGGCAATGTTAGTTCTCAAAGGAGTGGTTTGCCCCTGCCTTGCTGAACAATGTGCATCAGGTATGTTTGAGGACTAATGGGACTGCAGCCTTCTAGGGACAGTATTTCCTATGACATAAGTCAGAAACTGAAGCTTTGGGTTTCCTGCGCTGTTTCTCTCTTTAAACAGTCACAGTGGAGAACCAAGATTTAACAGCTCATTGAAGTGTGAAATGCCACTGTTTTCTGGAAGAAGTTTCTACCAGAACTTTTTAGACAAAGGATTGTGCATTCTTGTGATCTTTATCTTTGTATTCTTGTGACTAGGAGGAGGACTTGGCAGCTCCTTTCACTCTGTGGAGCTACTCTGAGTGGTTCAACTGATAACTGATTATTGTGGTATAAAAATGATGGTTCTAAAATTCAGCTTAGTCTTAGTGTCATCCAAAACTACAAAATACTTCCTTGTCCCAGAGTAGGGCTTATGTATTTTGGGAATATGGGGGAGGGAGAAGGGACTATAGTTATTTCAGTACCTCTTTATCTAAGGAGATTCTTGTGTCTGTGAGGAGTTGACCTAGTCAAGGCTGAAAAACAATAACAAATGCGCACTGCTGGGATAGGCTAAGAAATGGTGCAGATGTTAAAGTACAAATAATGATTTACAGAAGTATCAGCAGTAATTACTTGCCAGCAGTAATGAAAGAACCTGGATGAAGAAATTGGTGTGTGCATATAGTCTCGAGGGCTGTTTGCAACCCTTGCCCTTCCCAAAGCTGTCAGCAGGTTTTTTTCCCCACAAACTGCTTTGCCTGACTAGATTTGTATCCTTCTCCATGCACCTGCTATTTCTGGTTTAACCCTCTAATCACGAATGACTGTACAAAAGATGGTGATAAAGTTGTTCTTTCCTCCAAAACAAGAAGAACTAGCCCAGAACTTAAGTTACAGCTGGCTTCAGATTTCTGCCTCTACTTTTGGCTACTTCAAGTCAGCAGCTGCATGTGGCTAAAATGACTCTTCCCAGTGGTGTATCCCACTCATTTACAGCTACATATGTAAAGTGCTGTTTTGTTTTGTTTTCCTCTGCAAAAAACTCATACCAAGCCTTAGGCTAGTTAGTACCCTTATAAAACATCCCAGCCCATATTGGTCTTCACAAGATTAAATTTTTTTTAAAAAATAATTTAACATTTGACACTTGACTGTATTTATCTTTGGATTTTCAAAGTCATATGTAATAAGTGGGGATTAGATCTTCCAATTCTGCATTCTTACTGAATTGGTAAGAGCAGGTCTCAAAGCGCCAAAGTACTGTAGGAATAATTTTTTTTAAACATAGAAGCAACATGGCTCAAGTTACAGCGTAGCTTAATCAAAACAGGTGAATAAATACAATCAAGTTACCACAAGTGGGAAAAACCTTGGAGAGAACTTAAACATGCTGATGGGTCTCAGGTTGACTGACTGTACTTGACTTCGGAAATGAATTTATTAATGACTGAAGAGACAGCTTTTAACAGCACAAATTATTGCTATGCTGCTCCTTCATGGGAACTCCAGAAACATTTTTTTTGTCTGCCTTGTTTATAGGGGCGTCCATCAGGAGATGCTTTTATTCAGATGAAATCTGCAGATCGAGCTTTCCTGGCTGCACAGAAGTGTCATAAGAAGACTATGAAGGACAGATATGTTGAAGTCTTTCAATGTTCTGCTGAGGAGATGAACTTTGTATTAATGGGGGGCACTTTAAATCGAAATGGCTTGTCCCCACCACCATGTAAGTTACCATGTAAGTTTTGCTTGGGTCTTGTCAATACTCTACACTGTGTGCGGGTAGGTGTTGGAGCTGCTCTGTTGACTCTGATTCTGGTTCCTGGAAAGAATTGTCAGATGGGGGTATTAAAATGAGGTCTTTTTGTCTTAAATCTTCAGCAGCTTGCAGTCATTATTTTTCCCTTTGGTTGTGAATTATTATGACTGGAGAACTACTTTTGCTCTTCCATTGGCAATTTTTCCCTCCCCTCTGTGAAACTTAACGTTGTTGGGATGAGTGGTGATTCTGAAAAGTAATTTGTAAGCCCTGCTGAGACCTTAAAGAATTGTTTCCCATTTAAACTGGTTTGCATTTATGTTTTTCATCATGGTGAACATGCCAAGTAAAAGCCTTTCCCCTTTTACTTGCAAAATTTAACTTATGAATAGGCAATACTCCCCTTTGGGACTTAATCATAAGTGTTCTGCCTTTTGAACAACTACCGACCAAACTCTTCCTTTCATAGAATCAGCTGGGTTGGAAGGGACCTCTGAGATCATCAAGTCCAACCCTTGATCCACTACTGCCGTGGTTACTAGACCATGCCACTAAGTGCCACATCCAGTCTCCTTTTTGTTGTTTGTACAGAATTGAGGTTCCCTGTGTTGGGAGTAAAATACTCTCAAAAAATTGCAGAAACTGTATTTCCTTTCAAATTTTGCTTCTCAGAACTACTAGGATGAACATGGACTTTGGGCCATGTTTGGGAGAAATGCTTTAAGAGCTTAAGGGCTAACTTACTAAGCATATGTGCCACATACATCTGAGCCCAAGGGAAAAATAATACTTTGCTTCCAAAATCATAAATGGCAAGGTAGTCAAGTAGGAGCTTTCTCTTTCTCTCTATGCAAATGTATTATTGTTGTTGGACTCTTTAAGAAATGTCCTCTTAACCCTAGACAGAGCTGCTAATATGGCAGCAAACTTCTTGGGAGTGGCTTCTTGTGAGTGAGTATGAGTAGAACTTCAGCTAATCCTTTAGAGATTTTCCTTTTTTTTTTTTTTTCCAATGAAAGTATCCTGAGCAGGGATCAGAAGTATGTAGTCCTATGTGTGACAACTGTTCCAGACAAGGGTTGGAATGTTCCGAGCTCCTAGGACAGGTTCTTGGGCAGAGTCCCAAACTTCAGAAACACTTAGGTGACAGTGTTCCCATTTCCAGCTACGAATGCTCGTGATGTATTCCTCAGATAAGGGTTTTTGGCTCTGTCACTGCCCCATTTCACAATATTTGCTGACTGTCTTTTTAACTCTGAATAGCAAAAATAAAGGCTTACTTTATTTAAAGCTTTTATATGTTCACCTTTATGACATTGGAGAGGAGAAAAAGGAAACAAAAGAAGAGAATGGCAAAGGAGGAGGGTGAGCTCTCATCAGTGAGAATTCATTTAGGGCCTTACATCTTGTTGCAACACCACAAAGTGCACTTTGGTGGGTTTTTTTACAACTTGATATTAACACTTGAAGCTGCAAAGCTGTGACTCTGCTCGATCTGCTGTTGATTAATTGCAGACAGATATTTGAGGGATGGAGAATATCTGGATGAAAGTGTCCTCTCTCCTGGAGGATGTTAGATCTTTATCATGGAAGTTTCTTTCTTACAGTGGAGAAGTCTCATACTTCTTGGTTACAGACTTCATTAAAATCTAAACCTGAACAAAAAAAATTGGCCTCCTCCTCAGAAAGACACCCTATTTTCAGAGCAAGAGATGGCTTTTACTGTATTCCTGACTTTGCTTTTTGACTGGGGGGTGGACACAACGTTTATCATCAAGCTCATGTTGGTGACTCAGATTTATTTTCTGTGATGAGTAAGGGAATGAGAAACTTGTGAAGGCTCTTGACATACTGCAGGGTTGTTGTGTATGCATGGTCTGTTATCTCTGGAATTCAAGAGTTCCTAATCTACTTTCCATTTGTTCCCTTTAGGCCTTTCACCCCCTTCCTACTCCTTTCCCGCTCCTGCTGCAGTTATGCCAACAGAAGCTGCTCTGTATCAGCCATCCGTGCTCCTCAACCCACGAACACTCCAGCCCTCCACAGCCTACTACCCTGCTGGGGCTCAGCTCTTCATGAACTACACAGCATATTACCCCAGGTAAAGCAGAGGAGAAACCAAGCAGGAACAAAGAAGTCTTTCTTTGCAGCAAATGCACAAATGCACAAAGCTCACAAAAGAACATTGTCTAAAGTCTTGTGTTACCAAGAACAACTTGTTCAGTATCTTGTTCAGGGAAAAAATTAAGGATATCTAAGGATTTTCCAAGTTTTAGAGTATTTCAGGTAGCCGTATTTTTTTTTGGAGTTGGTTTGTTTGTTGTCTGCTTTTGGTTACTTGGTTTTGTTTTGTTTTTGTTTTAAACTTAGGTCGCACATTTAAGTGGGATATTTTTGATTTTTCTTTTTCCTTCCACCTAACATGCCTCTTAAGCTTGTTAGTTTGCATTGTTATGCCCTCAGTGGGAACTGATGTGTGCGGTATTCCTTCCCATGTCTATAAAGAAGCCCTTGGCCCCTCTTTAGAATGGGTAGATGGGGGTCTGCCCTAACAACTTCTGAAATTCTGCCTGTTTTTGTTTTTTTTTTAACAAAGTAACTTTTGACCTTTCTGGTGAAAACTGTTTACTTCTAGAAATAAGTATTGCATTGAAGCATATCTGTATTGAATGCATATGTAAAGCATATAGAGGCATATATTCATATTCTTCCTGACCTCAAACACCTCTCACAAAGAGCTTTTGGCTCTTCTGGATATATTAACTGTTTTCAATAGAACAAAAACTCTGGATAGCATTTGCCCTCTGCAGTCATGAAGCCTTGGAAAGAGCCATGTTACCTATAAGCCATAAACCATTCATCATCTGTCAGGGAATCTGTTAAAGAACTCAAGTTTTTTTTGTCTCTGGAGAAGGGTCTGAATAGCTACTTAGGTAGCTGTTAAGCAATATGGACTCTCCTGTACCTGTAAGGTGACAAAGGTTTTCTTATTACTTTACACTAAACCAATATGTCTGTGAGCTGCCTGTTGTAGTTTTGCTATTAAAATGTTTTCTTCACTCGTGAGTTAATTTCTATAATGCCTTCAATAACTGTCTTATGGTTATGATAATGTGTTACCAAACTCAGCCTCATTAATGTAAGATTAAGAAAAATAAAATTCCAAACTTGCACTGGCAATGTAACCAAGTTTCTCAGTAACAGTTCTATATGTCATGAAAATGTAGCAATAATAGTTTTGTTATAACTTTGACATGTTGTACTTCTTAAAATAATAAGACTGGCCACTGCAAGCTTAGTGTCAGGCCCCACACAGATCTCTCAGTGAATGGGGTCCCATGTGAGTCCTGTCGCTGGCTGCTTGGGCTGTGGGCATATGTGTTAGTTACAGACTAATCAGCCCCACGTCCCTAAATATCTTTTCTATATTCTTGTCTAACTGATAGCTGTTCACTGTTCTTAAGAAACCATTCTTACATAGCTTCTGTGCCAATTACGAGTACCTCCATCTTAAAGAGAATAAGGAAAAATTTCTGGACTCGACTTCTTTCTGGGTTGTGAGATTCAGTGTTTGACTATTGCTTTTCTATCCAGAGTAAATGTTTGATCTACAGACAAATTGTATATACTCCAGTAGATGTAGTGATCCTTTGTTGCTGACATTTTGGGCTATTTTTTTTCTAAAAAATGAAGTTTTCTTACTTTTTAGACAAGTTTCTTTGCTTTGTAAAGGATACGATAAGTAACTGGGTTCCTTTGAAGTAGCAATCAGAACTCTCTTAAATGTAGTCTTCTGATTCTGAAATCTAATTCCAAAAATGTTAAGTATGTGCTACAGGAAAGAATGGGGTATCCTCTCTACTAAGTGATCCATTTAAATGCATGTACATGGAAAAGCAATACAGAGCTGGTGGCTAATGATCAGACAATGGTTCATAAATCTAACTAGTGAATACTTATGGAAATAAGGAAAGTTTCTTTGACCTGCTGCCAAAAGGTTCTACCACTTGTGTTTTGCAAGGTCAAGTTGCTTTATAATAATCCAATTCTGTTTTCCACACAACAATCAATGTAGAGGCAGGTGTTGTTTTGGTCTTCAGTATCTATCAGAAATCCTGAAACTCTCAGACTCATCTTAATGATGAGTCTTATTCCCTTCTTAATGCTCTTATAGCTTTTGGTGATGAAACCCAACTGTGTAAAGAAATGGATGCCTTCTAAGCTATTAAAATAGCTTTAGTGAATTCCTAATGAAAAGGAGGGGAGAGCAAGTTATTCGGGATCTGTCAGTCTTTGATATCTCTCTTCAGCTTGTAATTATATCTGGCAACATGCTCTGACAGCAAATCAGTGGTCTCATTCTCTGTCTAGTCCCAGGCTTTTAAGAAAGAACAATAGGATTCATGGGAGGGAGGAGTTTTTCTTTATCTAATCCTGAATAAATGAGTGTACTAGGTGCTATATGTACACTGAAAGTAATGAATAACTGCTCTACTTGGCAGTTGCTAACATGTTCTACAGGAACTTTTTACTGTATACAAACTTGAAAGCTACTGCTACAGGGTATGCAGTTTTAAAACAAAGATGAGTCTTGCTGTATTTATTGAATTCTAGTGCCATTTTTATCACTTTTATGCATTACCTTTAAAACCTCAAAAGTATCTGTCAAAGTCTATACATCTAGTAGTAAATTTATAATTTGTACTTTGTTAACAGTACTTTAAATAGTACAGTGGAAAGAGGAGCTTCTTACTCAGTGGGTAGTGTGCTTGTAGGACTCAGCCAAAACATGATGTGGAAGCTGAAGACTGATATGGGTTCAAACAAACTGGATAAATTCCATGGCAGGAAATTCATTGTGAGTTAGTGAATACATAGAAACCACACCTGGCTCAGGAAGTCCTTGAACTGAAAATAGCTAGAAAAGTGTTCTTCTGTTCTGTGTCCTATGGTAAATTCTTGTGCTGTTGAGCCGAGGTGTGTAGGAGAACTTGTTCGTTCACACCTTTGTAGTACTTGTCTTGAGATACAGGCACTGCTTGAGAGCGTGGGCCTGTTCTAATGTTTCTAGCTGTATTCAGTTGTGCTGGTCTAATAGTGGCTAGGTTTGGGTTATCCCTGTTGTGCCAGTGTGTATACGGTTCTCTCTCTCGGAGTGGTTTAAATTAAAAGGTCTTTTTATGCAATAATGGTATGATTATGACACTTCCTGCACAAGGAAATACAGAGTAATCTTAGTGTTCTCATCTGTCTGCTTCCATCTCTTCCTGCTATGGATTAGGTGTGGTTTTTCTTGTTATACACTAATCAACTTGTATATACATGTGCAACATACATATAGCATTAATATTTATGTATGCATACCTACAGAAGTATGGGTGTGTAAAAGTAATACAGCTAAGGTTAGAAAAAACTCACTCGTTCTCTGTGATGGATCAGATCCTCTGTAATGACCATCATGGGAAAACTAGCGAGGCTTTTTCCTACCTTGGTCATTGCTCAGATCTATATTGAAGCACCAATAAGTTGGAGTTTAAAACTGGTAAAGCTAGAAACAAGTAGGCTGGATCAGAGCGATAACAGTCAGAGATGCTGCCAGCAGCTTTGTTTGTGTATCTCTGTCTGGCTAACCAGCATCACTTGACAGAACTGGGTTAGGAAACAACCATATGTGTATTTAGCCTGGGAGCTTTGTCACAGATGGATAACAGCAGCAGCCAGAAACAAAACCTCTTCATCAGCTTAGTTGTACTCACAGCATCATAGCAACACTTGGAACTGCAGCTCTTAGACTCTTTGCACTAAGTATGCCAGCTTGGATTGCATGAGATCACATCTGCAGTGAATGGGCTCACTGGGCATAAAAGCCTACTGGTGGCTTTCAGTTGCTGTCCAGCAAATGGAGTTCACATGTTTACATCAAGTGGCAGAATCTGGAACTCTTCCTTACCTATCCTTGCTCATATTGAGCTGGTTTCCATCATGAATTTGTCAAAATATCCTCAACTCTTTAGTTAATGGCACAAACTTGTCACCGGAATGATTTCTTGGGTGGGACACTTAATGATTCACTTTTGTAAATGAATGCAGCTTGCCAAGGATTAGAACAGCAGGGGTGCCTTGAACTGCTACTGTATTTTGTTGGTGCATTAACAGGGAAGATTAATTGTTGCATGCCTCCATAGACTGTCATTATCCCTTTGTTTGTAGGTTTTAATTAGTAAAATTACCATGGTGTCTGAAAAACAGCAGAAAGGTGGGTACCTGTAGGATCAATGGGTACCTGTAGGATCAATGGGTACCT